ATGACTTTAATCTCTTCCCCAGAAATTAGACATGCAAAAATGTAATGCAATAAAGACATTTAATCTTCATATTCAGACTATATTTTGGCCTCAACTAGTTTTTATCTTTTTTTATTTTATGAGACATGGATTGCTTCACCATGTTTCTATTTCCAAAAAAAAATGTTCAACTGGCTTTCACTCCTCTGGCTTATAATTAAATGACTTTAATCTCTTCCCCAGAAATTAGACATGCAAAAATGTAATGCAATAAAGACATTTAATCTTCATATTCAGACTATATTTTGGCCTCAACTAGTTTTTATCTTTTTTTATTTTATGAGACATGGATTGCTTCACCATGTTTCTATTTCCAAAAAAAAATGTTCAACTGGCTTTCACTCCTTGAGGAAAGAGAGATGGAGAAAATACACCTACTTTACCCAGCACTAATAATAGAGCATATTATAATGTATCAATTTAGCATTGTCGAAAAGTATAGAATTAGTAATACAATTTACATTTCTATGAATTTACTCATTAATTTGTTTAATTTACCTAACATTTTTTGAGCATCTATGTTATACTTGTACTGAGTGGTGATAAATTGGAAAAAAAAAACACTTAATAATACTACAGTATAGTATAGGATGTGCACAAGGAATGGGGCTGACAAAGAGAGAAGCTATCAATCCTTCCAGGAGATCTTAGAATGTCTTGACAGATAGAGAAAGAATTGCACTGCCACTCCTACAGAATGTAGGAGAGTTCTCCAGCTAAACATGGTAGGAAAAGAATTGCCAAGCAGAGAGATAGATCATGTACTAGGGCAAATAAATGGAGAAGAAAAAAGAAATTGGCACTTTCTGGAGGATTGAATTGATGACAAATAGCCATCTTCTCACCACATAGGAATGCTGGACAAAATCAATCTCTCGCGCGCGCGCGCGCGTTAGAGGAATTCAAAACTGGAGGCAAAAAATCCTCTAGATCTGGAAACAAGAAAACGAGAATCTCAAAAAGCTAGGATGCTTTTCTCCCCCTAGGAACCATGAAGACCTGATTCCATGGGTACTCCCGCCCTCCATCATCCTCCCCCTCCCCACTAACCACGCACACACTTCGGGTGTGTGGGGTTTGTGTTTAACATATTCAAGCAGATTAGATACAGCTTCCAGCTGTTAGATGGAACTAACTCAGTCATAAAACTGGAATCGCAAAAGGGCAGCACTGTCTATGAAATGAGAAATAATAAAAACAACCAAAATCTCTTTGAACATTGGTTCGACGAAGCAAAAAAGCAGCACAAAAAGGCTACTCTGGATTGGAGGGAAGGAGGGAAGAAAAGTTGATCTGATCAAAAAATTATAATCGATACTTAGAAATGAATTCCTAAGGGTAAAATTCTTAAAAAGGAGTTAGTATGATAAACAATGTACTAGATTACGCCCTGCTAAAAAAATAGGATTGCAAACATCATGCTAATAGATGATAGAGTAATGAGACCATAAAACGTGTATGTTTGCAATGACTAAAGGAGTAAAAGAAGACAGAAAGCATGATGAAAAAACAGAGATGTTTGGAAAAGAAAGGTTTTTAAAATATAGCAATAGCTTTTTAGAAATGAGAATTATAATTATTAAAATAAGCAGTTTAAACAAACTAATGGAAAAATTAGTAAAATATGTGATAAATCTAGAGAAGTACCCCAAATATAGATATAAAATATTTTAAAATATTGAAGATTAAAATTAAGGTGTGCAACAGTATAAATTATGTTTAATCCGTTTATATTTATTTAATATAAATGATTATTTTATTTATATCATCTTTTTCTTTAATGTTTTCCTTTTTCTGTTATCTCTTATAACAGAACTTTTCCTTTTTTCTTTTTTCCTTTTGTCTTATATTATTTATGTTCAATACCAGAATTTTTTAAAAATCTCCTAAATTTTACTTTATCAAGTTTGCACACTTATTTCACTATTTATTTTGTTATGAACATGTGAGTAGTACATTTTTGTGAACACTTATATTTAAAAAAACAAACAACAACAACAAAAAAACCTTCTTTGTTAGCTGATAACCCTAATTCCACTTGTTCTTATATTATTTATGTTCAATACCAGAATTTTTTAAAAATCTCCTAAATTTTACTTTATCAAGTTTGCACACTTATTTCACTATTTATTTTGTTATGAACATGTGAGTAGTACATTTTTGTGAACACTTATATTTAAAAAAACAAACAACAACAACAAAAAAACCTTCTTTGTTAGCTGATAACCCTAATTCCACAACATCTTTCCTTCAAAACTCTGAAGGTTTTAGTCCAATTCTTTTCCTTGACATTTAGTACTACAAAGAATGAGACTGAGGCTAGACTGATTTTATTCCTTTTTACCGAATCTGTTTCTGCTGAATGGATGCTTATAGAATTATGTTTTATTTAAACATACATTTCAATTTTCTATGTTGTGTCTAAGTATTTTTTTCATAAATTTTGTCTAGTAATTATTCAGCACTTTCTAACTCAAAGTTTTAAAAAACATCAGAAAATTACATTTGACTATGCCTTTGATTAATCCTTCTATTATGATTGTTTTGTTTTTTTCTTTGATGGTGCATATAATTATTAGGTTATATCACTTCAAATAATTTCTTATACTTTGGTCCCTTTTCATCTCAGCGTGTTATCTTTGTATCTCATCCTGTTGTCCTTTCATCTTTTCCTGATCTATCTGATGGCTTTCTGTTTTCTTGAAAATTTTGCTTACTGGCTACTACTGAACTTACAAAATAGATTTCTACAATATTTTCAAGCTAACTGTATTTCTCATTATTCAAATTACTGTGAAATGTCAGGATGATGTTTTCTTTATTTCTATATTTTGTTTTTTGTTGTTTTTGGTCTTCTTGGAATTGATAGGTATTATTTTTTTTTTTCTTAAGACATCAAGTAGGATTTTGTTTTTTTCTTATCCTTGGATGAATATTCATCCATTCACTTTCGATTTGGTAGCCATTTGAATCACTTTCTCAGATTCAGAGGGCAGATCTATGTAAATCATTTCTAAAACAATTTTCAGTGTTTAGTCATTTCTACTGAGTATAATTCCTCTGAACTGAGGAACAGCGTTCTCCCACCTGTGCTAACTGAATTTCCAGTGCTTTGAGTCAACGGAGTGTATGAAAATGCACCACCCTATGCATTTCTATTAAGACTCTTATTGCCTCTACTTTTATCTCTGTGCTTGTGGGAATTTCATTTTTGACAGTACAATATGCTGCCTCTAATTTCTCTCTATATTCTGCTCTGTTGTTTCTGAGGGATGTGGAAATGTAACAGAGGGGCAAAGGAACACTTGAATTAATCACTTTGTGAAATGTTATCTGTGTATTATGGAGATAATTTTATTCTCATTGGTATGTATAAACTATAAAATCGGTAATAGGGACAGGCAAATTGTTATTTCTAACATCTTTCTGGTAAATGGAGCTGCTTTGTTTTATAATGTAAAGTATGTCAGTCACAAATTATTTTTATTAATCCTTTGCTATCTACCCTACAGACAGTAGAAATACTAGATTCTAGCAATAGGTTACCAGTCAGAGTCATCTTTTAGGGTTAAGTTCTTATCTTAAAAAAATACACACACACCCTCACACACACACACATATATATGTATTTTAGGAGATATTTAAAAGATGTCTTAATTTATTAGACTAATATATTTTAAATTGGAAAATCCTAAGTATTTCTAGTTTGAAATCTTACTTTACCATGACATACAGGTACATGGGTTAACTACGTTGCCACTTGGGATATATGTATCACAAGTAACAAGAGAATATAAAACTGGATCATGTCTATGTTCTCTCTCACTTACCTAACACCAGGGAAAATTTGATATCTTCTCCCAGCCACAACCCAACATTCCACTAGCGTCATCTTCCTAAATTGCAAATGTACTGGGAAAGAACAAATGATCCACTTCTCAATTTCTAGCCTTCCATCCTCAAACTAAATAAATGGTGGCCACGCAAAGTCTATGATTAAAAACAGCTATGAGTCCACCACTGATAAGGTGAAGATGAGGCAGTGGGGAGATGAAACGGGATTATATACATAAGGAAACTGGCACACAGTAGCTTCTCAATTAATAGTAGTTATTTTATTTTATTATTTTAATTGAGGGTCTGAAGTTGTTTCTCCTTCTGGTTTCCAAAGGAAAAAAAATCCCTTTAGAACCAGAGAGCAGAAAAATTCCCTTCTACTTTTTTCATTAGGGAAATAAAATAAGTATTAAATAAAAGGACAGGAATTAAGATCAGAATTACTATTATTTGGTGTTCCTTTCTTGATGTTGGCATTTCATTTCTGATTTCACTCTGGCTGACAACCCCTCTCCTCTCTCTCTGTCTCTCTGTCTCTCTGTCTGTCTGTCTCTTTGTCTCTCTGTCTGTCTGTCTGTCTGTCTGTCTCTCTCTCTCTCTCTATATATATATACACACACACATATATAGAGAAATATAACAAAGGATAACAAATATAACAAATATAACAAAATATAACATATATATAACAAATATATATATATGGATTTTGTTTAATTATAAATATTAGGAGATAGAAGAATCCACCTATATGGCAAATATAGACTCAAATTTAATTTGTTTTGGAAAAAGTCAGGTTAATTTTTTTCCTACTTCAACATGACACTCTTAAATATAGAAATTAAAATCACAATACCTCTCTTTTAAGTTAATTAATCATAAATTTGTTGAAAGCAAGGATTAATTTTACCTCTTTTGTATCAACTGTATTGCGTAGCATACTTTTGGGCCCATCACAGCTAAAATCATTTCCTTTCATAGGTCTGCAAAATGTTATTTTTATATGAAAAATATTTCATAATATTTTAATACTGATTTTGAAGTACAAAACATCTGATTATGTTCTTAGTCATTTACATTTCTGTGTTTACCGTCAAGTCAGTTAGAGATAGAGTCTAACTCACCGGTTGAGGTATAAAGGTACGTTCTTATTTGTTGTGGCACTAGCTGCTCTTTTGTGATCTAGTTCAGACCTCAACATTTTTTTATCAGGGTGTGGAGAACAAGGTAGGAATACAGTGACTGGCTTCTGGAAAGGATGTGTTGATGGCTGCTGAACATGAATCAGAGGGCTTGTGGATAATACCGAGTAGGAAGTATCTTGCTGTGTTTTTAAATATGCCACTAGAGATGGGTCAACAGGTTGGACCTAAACAAAGAAAAAAAATATATATTCTTATATTTTGATAGTGAAAGATGCAAAGTATCAGTGCATTTATAAACTAATTTTTTGAATATTTGATAGAACATAGTTTTAATACATTTCTTTATACATTGTTGGCTGGAATTAGTGGTGAATTAGTCTATAAAAGAGCACAGCATTTGAACCCTTTTTACAAAGTCCTTCTGAAATCTAGGTTCCTTATCCTTTGTTATAAATAACTGAGAAACATTCTTAATTATAGGCAACAAAATGACCTAGAAAACAAAATAGACATTTTACATAATTTCTAATTAGAACTATTGTTAGATCAAGAGATCTTTAGAAACTAGAAAAACAGACTATATTTACGTGTTTCCTCTCACATAAGAACAGCTAATAATCAAAAAAAGCTAACCTAATTTTAAAATTTCAAAGTTTATGGAAAATATTTATAAAATTTAACTATTTATAATGTTTTCTTCCCAACTTTCCTTCTTTGCTTACCACTTATAGTAACGACTGAGAGAAATTGGAGAGCCTGGGGGAAAGTTGAGGATATAAGGACAGGGAAAATTTAGGAAATATCTTCTGAAAGATAGATTGATACGGCATTATCCACCTTACAAATAGTGTTTGTATATATTCTTTTTAAAAATCCTTCCCCAGTAGGGCTGTTTTATAATTAAATATAACCACACATTTAAAATTTTAAATATTTTAATTTATTAGTCTCTTTTTTTGCCATCCTCTCTGGTAGAAATTTTGAATCATATGAATGTCCAATGCCTGGCATCAATTCTATCATAGATACTCAATAACTTGTTAATAAGTATCATAAATATAATAACATAAACGTAGCTAGAAAAACCTTTCAGTTAAAGCAAAGATTTAATTTGAAATGAGATTCAATGTGTTCCAAATCATCACTTAATCACTGATAATACTGTATATTAGGTTGTTAAAAGTATAGGAATTTGTTTATCATTATATTAAATATTTGTATCTTCTTCATTATTTAGGACCGTATGTGATGACTCACAAAATCTATGAGAAAAGACTCGACAGTTTTTAATATTTACCTTTAATTGTATAAGCACTGATGAGCTGAAAACTCCTGGAGGGTAATTTAAAGATATTCGAGAATCCATGCTTGGTTTAAGAGTAAGGCCTTTCTTTGTTACTGTGAAGGATTCTTTCTTTAAACAAGACACAACAGAAAAGATACCCAACTTGTAAACTTTCACTTCAGCACAAGTTCCCTGTATGGATTGAAGGACATTAAGATAAGGACATTAATACAGCACTTTTCTGGGGGATATACTGTAAATACGTAAATACTCTGTAGCTGCGAAAAAAAATCCACATGCTGTCCCTGTAATCTCCCACAACTGAGAATAATTCCTTTAACTCCAAATGGATAGCCTTTTCAAGATAGGACAGAGAAGTAAATAATAAGTAGTTTCTCGAGTGGACTCCATGATAAAGAGAGAAATCTATTTACTTTAAATTCCAAAGAGAAATTGTATCTATATAATGGTAATAACATTCAATGTCTTTAACAAATATTAGTTACTTCTGGAATACTTTCCTCCTTTATCCATAAGAGAATTTAAATTTAAATTTAAATTCTCTTATGGATAAAGGAGGAAAGTTATTAGCCTTTATTCAGAAGATTCAATATTGTTTTAGGCAGTCCAAGGACTGAAAAGTCATCATTCAGGTAGTTTAAGTAAACGCTAAAGCACTTGTATTGCCAGCAAATTCTTCCTTCAGACAATTCACAATCCCTTAGTAAAGTCATTTTCTCTACTTCTCTCTTCCATGCAGTGGGAGCAGTTGACTACAAAGGGATCCATTCGTGTTTCTTTTTTATATGGTGACATTTAAATTTGTAATGCATGTATGCAGGCACATATTCAAGCTTTTAAAAAATCACACAGAAAGGAACCGAGTACATAAGTGAAAACAAAATTATCTACTCCTACAATCACCAAAGCTTAAAATGAAAAGAAAGACTTAGAAGTAATTTAATCTATTCATGCTTTCCCGACAGCCAGCTGGGCTCCACCCTGGCTTGAGTGGATAATCGTGCAGACACACACAAACATTTCAGGGACAATCACAGTGCAAAATAATCTATCATTTGAAAACTGACTAAGGAAAAGATTTCACAATATCACTGTGTGAATCTGTCGCTGGGAAAATTCAGGGCATGATGACTGTTCTTAATTGGCTGGAGGGAAAATGGTGAGAGGTAGAAAAGAAACGTCTTCTGGGAACTGACGGTGGTTGCCCTGTGTTTCAAGGATATTTAGCAGATGCTGGGGAACCGGAAGGGTTTTTAAGCAGGGGAGTGTCCTGAACAGAACTCTGATGGTGATTTATCTGACTCCAGAATTAGAATTCTTAAATGTCATAAAAACCACATAAAAATTTGGAAGGAATCCAGAGTTTAAATTTTCTTGGGCTAAAAATAGGGATAACTGCCATTAGAATAACATAAAGAGAAAAGTATATGCTTTTATTTTTTTCAGTAGACAATGATTCGCGCTCTCTCTCTCTCTCTTTTTGCTTTGATTATCCATTTGCTAAACATCTTATGTATCTACTGTGAAAAGCACATGTCCAAGAGCAGTTTTTTGCTTTTATGACAGTCACACAAAGTGGCCAAGATTAAAAAGCCCCAATCAAGGGCTGCTATACTTATAGGCCAATAGAAAATGTATTAGTTGCATTAATTGGAGTAAATAATTAGAATAGGCTTAGCTTTCACATTCAACTGTATAACATTATATGTAACTCAGAAAAGACCTAAACCAGAAAAAGAGATGTATTACAAAGAATTTCTTATATGCATGGAAATTTTTTACATTTATATCCTGTCCTCTTCAAGTAATGACAACTCACATAAAGCTGAAAAGACAAATATTTTAATTGTTTTACAATAAGTTCAGTGGCCCACAGAAGAACCTTAAAAGTTAGTCCCCATCAACTCTATGCTAACTTTAATACTTTTGTATATTCTCTCTTCAAAACATGTGAACTGGTGACCACAGAGGGCCTCGGAGTTATTACAATAAATTCTACAATGAAAAATGATAATTTATTAACTCCTAACATGTGTTTTTTGGCTTCCTTTTATCTTCATAAGTGTACAGTATTTTCTCATTTCATCCTTATGACCCTAACAGGTAGATACTATTAGTTGATCATTTCTCAGATAAAGAACTTGAATCATAGTAAGATGACATGATTTACCCAAGTTCACATAGCAAGAAGGTGTAAGAACCAGACTTCAAACCCAGCCATCTTCCTTTACAACCCACGTCCTATCAACCACATATACTATCTTCCATGTGTGGAATTAACACAATTTATAGTTTTAATAACTATCTTTAGGCATACACACACACACACATGCACACAATTATTTGTTTGTAACATATGTTCCCAACCTATGAATAATAAAAATAAGGCTACTATCATCTGGGGATTCTAACATTCTTAAATTAAGGTCCATCAATGTAGAAATGTTAATGTAAAAGTAGTCTAAGGCATGATGTTGGTTTTGTTTCCCAAATGAAAGTATAGTATTTGCTGGTTCTAGACCCAAGTTCTCTATCCCTAATTTTGGCCAATAATTTCTGTTCTTTGTTCTTTGGGGATGGCAAAAAAGTGTGACTGCACTGGTATCAATCTATCAACGCTTTCATTTGATACCAATGAGTAGTTATATCTACACTATGATTCTGGTAGTCTTAGTAATATTTAGAAGAGTCAAACAGCAAATGTAGGTGTAGCCAATGATTTACCAACCTTGTAACTTCCTCTCATTCCTTCCAGTGAACTTGGGGTTAGGTAACTTGACTGAAGGCTTATGTCAGACACTTTCACCATGATGTCTCTGTAATTTCCCCTGTAACGTGCAGTAAATGGAATTGCAACGCATATTGGGAATGGAATTCTCTTTTCCATATCTGAGCACTCCACATTGATGACATTGCTAACCAACTCTTCATTATCATTCACTATGAAAGAACTCATGCTATTAATTATTCGGCATTCTAGATGTTGTAAAATGTATGATGGTGCAGTGATGTAACAAGACACTTGGGGACCTGTAGCATCACTCAGCACATCAAGATACCTGCAGGGGAAAAAAAGGATGTAATTTTTACAATTATTTGATTTATGTATTGTATAGCTATGTATATAAGAGCCAAAGCTTATATACTTTTATCTTATGATCATGCGAATCTAAGTTCTCTTGCTTACTGTCTCTGTGACCTTGGGCAACATAGCTAATCTCTCTGTGCCTCAGTTTCCTCAACTATAATGGTGATAAAATAATAATGTATCTCATAGGAAGGCTGAGAATTAAATGAACTATTATATGTTAAGTAATTAAAAATCTGTGCCCGGAACATAGTGAGTATTATGTTAGTAATTATTGTTGTTACTATTATTATTACTATTATTATTTAAGTGGTTGATTCGTTCCTCAGTTTTGTTCACTTCACAATATGAATCTAAAGATTGCTATAGCTTCTTGATAAACCCAATACTAATACTCAAATAGTTTTTTAAATTTTGAGGAGACTAAATATATATCTGGTTTTGGAATTATCTAAACACATGAGATCAAATGCTTATTTCATTTTTTCGAAAACCTGAGAAAGGTGCAAAAGTACCGTGAACTTATGACTAATCAAGGTAATTAGAAACAATATTTACAATCCTCAAAGAACAAATCCAAAGGCCTATTTTGACCAAAAGCTTATTTTGACCATTTGTTTTACTCTCGTTTTTTTTTTTTTTTAGCATCACCTTTGCCAATGATTTTATAGTCCTGTAGGTTTAAATTCACAGTTGAGATCAGTCACTTGCTATTCATTTGACCTTAAAAATCAGTAATCATTATTAAAATAGCTAATATTTTAGTTTTTTCTATGCACCAGGTTTTAGGCTATATATTATTTCATTTAATCCTCATAATATAAGGTTAGGCTGTTATATTATTATCACCATTTTACAGATTAGGAAACTGAGGTTTAAAAAAATTTATTTTGCTGAAGATAACACAAATGGTAAGTTGTAGAATCAATAATTGAATCTGTCTGTTTTCAACACAAAAGCCGAATTTTCTAGTATAATATCATACTTCCTCAAATCATTCCAAAGCCCTGGTTTCTTATTCCAGGGCTTATTAGCTGAAATTAATAACTAATCACAATATGTGGAGATTTAATGAGATCAAATGTTTAAACTTCTTAAAAATGGGTTAGCATAAAATGAGTGTTAAATAAATGTTGGATCTCTGCATCAAAATTACCAGCTTTAGTTTCTCCTTTTATTGCTACTTCTCATTGTATACCCGTGAAATGATTGATATATAGACAATGTCAAAGAGAACTAAGAAGATCTATATCAAATACAGCATTAGTACTGTTTAGAATAATCGGATTTTAATTATTTTCAATTATTAGTAATGAATTTTTATAGTACACTTTAATATAAAAAATTTTTTAAAAATTGAAATTGCAAAGGTCATTTATTTACATTTACAATTCCGAACCCATAAATTTAAAAGGAATAGAAAATTATCCAGCCCAATGATCTGTGTGAGTATTCTCTGATGATGGTGATTATACTTTAGAAAATATGAAACATCATTTAGTAGAAGACACAGTGACCCCAGTCTTCAAGAATGACTAAGGGAATGAATAACTTGACTTCTCAAGAATGACTTCAAAAATGCCTCTTTTCTGTGCCATGGGAACCATCTCAATACACTCTTAGAAAAGACTGACAGATGAGGTAGGGTGAGGAGACCCAAAAATGCTTTTATTTCTCTTAATCCTAACCAAATAGATCAGGTCCAGCCATTCAAATGATCTCAGGGGTTTATTCTAGTTTTGTTTCCCTTTGAGTCTGTGCACTCTAGGTCAACTATACAAGAAGAGATAGGCTTTTTTCAAAAAGCTATTCAGGGAGGGATCATAACAGATTCTGAGCTAGCTTGTGTTTTTGACACTCATCTTTTACATTGCATGATGGCCTCCTAGCCTGAGGGATTGTAATAAGTAGTCATCTTAAATATGCAAGCCAAGCACAATTGGTTTGAAGGCCACAAAGAGGAAATCAGTAACTAGGGAACACCTAAAGTAGATGTGAGAGGGAGTGGTTCAGCAATGACTCATTAGTACCAACTTTGAGTCATTTCTGAATGTGAGGATCTGCAGCTTTAATGTTTTTCTCAAGTGAAATGAGCAAACACATATTGGCTGCTGGGTTTTTTTTTTTTGCTTTTTTTTTTTTGCAGGAGCTGTAACTCTTTTGAACCATGGACACCTTTTGTACTCCTAGGACACCTATAGAATTTATTAGATTTTCAGACCTATAGGGACCTCATAGCTAAACTAGTTTCAACCTCTTCATTTTATAGATGAGATAACTCAGGTCAAAGTGAGCAAAATGACTTGCCTGTAATCATAGACTAATTGTGGTGTTGTCCTAAAATGGTATAGTACATCTTCAAGAGCATGACACATCTTGGCAGAGAGGGGATAAGTGAAGTGTGGTAGTGTGTAGAAGGCGGAGAAAGTGAGGATTGTTGGGGGTGAAATAAATTAACACTAACATTTAGCTGAGAGTGAACATCTGCAAAGTGGCAGGGTACTAGGACCTTTACATGATTTCTCATTTGATCTTACCAATAATCCCAGGAAGTATATGTAATATCTACAAAGAAGGAAATGGGGCTAATAAATGAAGCAAGTGGTCAAAGGTTATAGAACTAGTTTAGAATAAAACAGCAGATAAAATTTAAGCCTGTCTGACTCCCAAACATATGATATTTTTTCACTATTTTTCAGTGCTTTCTGAGGGTGATATGTTTGCTGGGGAAATATTGTTTGTGAATATTTTACTTTATTTGAACAAACATGGATTATTGCCCCTTTGTATTGGGGAGATAATTCATAAAATAGATCAGTCTTTCTCACTTTTTGAAGTCATGGGTCTTTGAGAGTCTGATGAAAGCTCTAAATCAAAGAAATAAAATAGGTATGAAAATATACATTTAATTTTAAGAACCTGCCAAAACTTATTTATGAGCTCCCCAGAGTTCTAAAGAATTCATGATGATTTATAAATAAAATAAATCTGAGAATTTACTTAAGAATATAAATATAATAAATCTGAGGCTGGAAAATTCTCTTCTAAATTTTGAATACTTTGTAGCCTCCTAGTTTTTCTTATTATAATTGAAAAAAACAATGATTTTAAAGTGTCCCTGTAATGGACAATTACATATTTTAACAACTTTCTCAGTCAATTTTTTCCTCTTTTAAAGAAACATTTAATATGTTTGTTTCCTAAAAGTATAAGAAACTAACAATATTAGTTATAGCAGCTATCGGATTTTCATGGGAATAATTTATACTGAACTACTGATTTACAATATTGTTTGGAGATATGAAATAAAAATATAAAACTTTGCTCACTTACAAATACTATGTGTATAAAACCACAGATACATACATATAAATAAGCACATATAAGGTTTTCTCATATTGCATTTACTTACTCCTTTTCCATTATGTTATTTTTTTGCTTTGGACTCTCTGAGTCATTGGGAAGAAGACTATTCACATATTTATTGGTGATATCACATGTTATGGAGGATGTGGTAATCTCTTCTCTTTGATTTTCTGAGGTCTCTTGAATTTCTCTTTCTGTTGTCTGAATTATGTCATGCATCTCTTCCTCGTTGCCACTTATGTTCTCAACAGTCATGTGTTCTATTTGTTTATCATCACCATTTTCTGTATTCTCTAGGAACATTTTGTTCTGTGACTCTTCTTGCCCTGCTGCTTCACCATTCAAGGATGTATTGTTTTCTTTTTCCACTAAGTCCAGACTCATGGATGCTAACTGGACCTGGTTTGTGTAATGACTTTCCTCTCCATTTGCGGAAGAAACATTAGCCGTTTCTATGACATTTTGTTCCCCTCTTGCAGCAGTGTCTGTTGCTTTGATATCTTGAATGGAGGACATTGTCTGCAGTGGAGTACATTCATCATGCGTGCTGCAAAAATCACACATCTTTTTTTCTTCTTTCTTTAGAAGTATAGCTGTGGTCCCCAAATATTCATTTATTCTCATAAGGCAGTCTCTGAAAGTAATGATTTCTACACACATATACACACATAGACACATAAAAAAAATAAATACAAAACTAAACTAAATTATATTTCTCCACTGACATATAATGAGATATGGCAAAATAACATTTAAAACCTACAAAGATCTTTACTGGGCATTTAAGCCAATCTCCCTCCTGAAGGAGAAGTCATTTGTACAACCATCATTCTTTTAACACATCTAGGAATTGGGGACAAATGGCTTTTTAAGGTTATAAAAAGAATAAATCTAATTCCCTCTGCTTGTAAAATTTTTTTGAATATTTGAAGACAGATATTATGACCTCCCTATAAGACCATTCAATTGAAATCAACATCTCCCTCAGCCATTTCTCATTTGCTATGATTTTGAAACTTGTTCTTTCTCCTTTGAATGTACTATAGTTTATCAATTATTCACTTAACATTATTTGCTAAAATTTAACAAAACACTCTAGATGAGACTTGGGTAGAGGCATACCATAGCTGCATTATTTCTGCTGCTGTGGATGCTATATTGAGCATTTGGTTTGCTGTTATGAGAATTGGATTAGGTTTGTGCTATTTCGCCTGCTGAGCTTGTTATCATTGGCAATTTTCAAATTAGTCTTTCAAAGAATATCTCTAATTATATTGCTTCTCTGATTAGATAATGCAGTGGCTACTCAAGGACTACTAAACCAAGTCAAGCCTATTCACTCTAGTGTATACTTTCACCATGATCTGATCTGATGTAATCTCTCACTCCATCCCCATTTCTTACCATTCTCCTGTTTGTTCATTTCTCCTCCCTTCACGGCTAGGGTCACCTGATGTATTTTTGCAGGTTTAACAACTCTCCAGTCTTTAGAATTTGGTTCTGAACTACGGAATATGTAATTTAAGCCCCCATAGCTCAGTGTTTTTAGAATCATCACTAAATCATTCTTTCACTAATCTTTCACTGGAATTAACTTTGGGCTCCCTTTCTGACTATTTGTTTTTGTCTTGTACCTGAGACTCTGTCTTTATTTTGAACTCATGTTATTTTGAAATCATCATGAATAACTATTCTATGAATAACTATTTGTCTTTCTATGTTGCCTAGGACCACATTCAGTTATCTGAAAAGACTTGGATCCTGGCTATGAGCTCTAGCCAGTAGTCTTTTTATCATGCTGCCTTCAGACAGATTTCCCAGATGCCCACTATTTGCCCTCTAGACTGAATTTCTTACCATTATCTTCCCTGGATTCTTGATTAATAAGACCTACCCACTTGCCTTGACACTTTATTATTTAGAACTGGATTTTATGACGCCACCCATCTTCTTACCTAGAGTGACTATTGTTGTGTGAGATCATATTCATCAGATACCACATCCTTCCTGCCGTACTGTACTTCTCAGCATCCATAACTGGGCCTTTTCCCAAGAACCTGTATTTCTCTTAGTGTATGTATTGGGAGGGGGGAGTTCAGTTTCATATTCCAGCTTACCCCAGTCTTTCCAGTGTTTTTGCAACTAATAGGTTCAAACTCAAGTAAATCTAAAAATAGGATATCATATTCCAATGTAGAAAGACTGCTTATTTTGCCTCAAATAGCCCTATATTTTCTTACCTCTACGTCTTAGATCCTGCTAATAATACCACTGCTTGGCATTCTCTTTCTAGATTTCCAGTTTCTTGCTGCCTATATACAATTCACTCCTTGATCTTCAGTTTAAATGCCACATTTTTTTCTAGTGAAATCCCCAAATCTCTGTTCTAAAAAAAGGCTCTTGCCTGCTTCTGAATTCTTAATGCACTTTATTTATATGTTTCCAATGAAGCTGGCCTCGACATTCCTTATGTTATTGTGTATTTGTCTCATCTTATTTCCCCTATTATATTATTAGTCCCTCGTAGACAGAGATTCTTTCTTAGCTTTCTTGGTATGTACCTTAGCCCCTCTCAGAGTGGCTACACAATAGATATTTGTTAGAGAAAGAATAAATAAAATACTTGCCTTGTTTCCACGTACATTGAGTCTCCTTGCCAAGCAGTATATACAGCTGCTGGCAAGTAAAGTGTAGAGTCCCTGTAGTATGCTCCAAGAGTTGATGAAGGGCCCCACTGAGCTCTTGTCCCAGAAAGACCACTGTGGCTATCCAAGTGGCCCCGCCAGCCTCTTCACAATGGTCAGGTCCCAGGAGTGCCTGCTTTAGCATCAGGTTTTGTCTCCAAATCTGCTTCAATATTTGGCCTAGTTTACCTGAGCCCATGTCTTCTGTATCCATTTTACGCTCCAAGAGTGAAATGCTTCTTTCCTAACAGCAAAGCCTAAAGGTTTAGCAAATACGAACTTGGCGAAAGATATTTTTCCTAAAATCTAGGAGATGATCCAAGTCGGCTAGCCAAGCACTTTCTTACAACACAATAGTTTATTCAGCTTCTTGTTGACCAGTGAAAAGTTACTAGGTGACCAAAGGAGGGGCGTTCCTGCACCCTGGGTGCCATTGTGTACAGAATAGATTAATCACAGGGGTAGAGCTAGCTCCCACAATCCCATTCTCTATGTGAGTCTTACATATTCAATATACTATGGGAGCTCCACATACTTTTCAAGTTTCAAGGCAAGAAAATGTAGATTCTGAATAAGATGAGAAGTTTATTAATCAAAGGTAAATGGTTTAAACAACACAGCTAATAAGATTCCTATGTGATCTTTAAAATACTTATGCATTCAATAATATGGCTTCAAAATAATCGGGGAGTGGTGAATAGATGAAATAAGATTAGCTCAAAGTTAATAATTGTTGGACCTGGATATGGTTACATCTGGGGTCTTTACGATTCTAATTATCAAATATTTATAATTTTTTAATAATAAAGTGTTTTAAAATATCCCTTTGCTGGAGCAGAGTCTATTACCATTGGTTAAGTAAGTTTAATTAGTACTTTCTTATATGGTACATCTGCAGTGAGATTGAGATAGGTACTTGGCCTCTTTACTCTTTGATAATTTCCCTCTAATTGGATAAAATGCCCCTTCACTAAAAGAAAGGAAACCTGAAAAGTGGTTTTCTCTGCTCTAACAAGGAATCTTTACCATGTATAAATAAATTCAGATATGGCAAGTTCTCACCACTACTGGCTCCTCAGTTGGCACATTATATATGAGGCCATTGCGATACAAGACTTGATATGGGGGGACATTGGAAGATGTGCAGAGAAACCCAGAACAGCCTGCTTCCTCCACTCCAAACCCCCTCTTCTAGTAAAGGAGAACACAAAGACAGGGAGAGAGAGGGCAGCGCGTTCGAGACAGGCTCATATTCTCTCAGAGGTATCGGAATGAAATGAAAGCTTTCCAAAGGGGAGCAGAATGCTTCCCTCCCACGGGCACCACATTATCTCATCTTAAGCACTAAGATTCTTAGAGCTCATAGCACCTACAAAACAAGATGGGGAAACACAAGCCTAGTGCATAAAGAAGAAAGAACAGATGCCGCAGGCCTAAAGACTGCCCAAGCTGCGGCGGCCCAGAGTCTCAAAGAGAAGGCACGGAGCGGGGTCCAGCAGCGGCGGCCGAGGTAGGGGTGTGAGTGCGGCTCGCCCTCTAGAAGAAACCTTACTTTTCAATGATCCTCTCTGTGTACACTGAAAATGCCATCTTTTTTGAGATGTGAATCCATATCACATCACAAATCACATTGTTTTAATACTTTACACCCTCCTCTCAATGGTAAACACTTTCTAGTTCAATTTTATTTTTTTCTCTAATTCTTGAAATATATGTGTAATTCTAAATAATAATGTACACATGGCTTTAATTCAATGTCAATTCTGAAAACTTTCTATTGCATTTACTGTGTGCCCGGCCCTATTTAAGTGCTGGAAATAGGGCTTTTTAGGACTTTGGAGAGGTAGACACATGACCAAAATATTAAAATACATCTTAAACTGTGTTGAACGCTAGAGAGGAAACATGAATAAATAGTATCAAAAAAGCTTTGAGGAGAGAAAAATAATTTTGATTAGATGCCTAAGAGATGTTAAATTAGGAGCTAAAAGATGATCAAGATTTGAGTAGGCTAGACAATAAAAGAAAAACACATTCCAGCATAGGAAATAATATAATCAAAGGCATGGAGGCATGAAATGACACAAGGTGATCACAAATGGAAAAGTATGGCTTTAGAGGAAGGTTCAGTTAATAAGTCTGAGAAGTGGCAAGAGAAGAGTCTAATAATTATGGAGAATTGGGAGAAGTTGGGATTTTATTTTACAGACAAAAAAAAAAAAAAGAGAGAGAGACAGAGAGAGAGAAACTAAATATTTTTGAACCAAGTTAAGATATGCCCAAATCTGTGCTGTAGGGATGCAGGTGGTTTAGATGGCAGAGACACAAGAGTTAAGAGCCTTGAGGGTCTATATTAGAGCAATAACAGTGCAGGCAAGGGAAGAGAATATTTTGAGAAGGATGTGAAGTACAGTGAATAGAACTTGCTAAATTATCAGTTAGAAGGAGAAGAATAGAAAGCATGGAAATATCCATGCATTCATTTATTTCAGAAATATTTATTGGCTGCTAGTACAAGAACTGTGCTTGGTAGTGGAATATAACTAAAGTTTTTAGTTTAGGTGACTGAACAGATGGTAAAATAATTAACTGAGTTAAGGAATTAGGAAAAATGTTAGGCTTAATAAGCAGATAATTAGATTAATTTTGAATTCGTTGAAGTTGAGATAGCTCAAGACCATTTTTTTGGAATGTGTTAGGAATTTAGGAGAAAACTCAGAATGATTCTGGCATATTTGAATGTCATCAGTAACTATGAAGTAAATGATCCACTGGAAGTAGAAGAGATTAATAGAGAATACACAGTATGAATAAAACTGATTTAAAAAAATGCTAAATCACTGGACAAATATACATTTTGTCCCCTTCTAGATATGGGGGAATATTCTTTCTCAAGGCAGGAGAAAAAAAAAAA